ATATATATGTATATATGCGTATATTATTCAATTCTGTAATTAAATAATATGTAATAAAACTATGTAACGTATTTTATAAAACGTGTGTATTTTATTAAAGATCAGTGTGAAATTTTCAATAAATATCAATAAAAAGTTTGTTATATTTCTTATATATGTTGTTATAATTCTTATATATAGTGCATAACAAAATGTACTTTAAATTTCTAAAGTTTGTTGTCAAATTTTAACAGGCAGTTTTGAACTGTTTGCAAGGTGAATATGAAATAAAATTATCTACAATTACGTATTTTTTGTCAAATGTATATTATAGTATAATCGCAATCATAATCGGTAGTGGCACTTGCCACTACCGATGACTCGGAATATGATAATTAATAATGCGACTGGAATTACACGTGGAAATGATTTATAGCGGCAATGACGATACAGGCGCAGCATTTGCTCTGTATGATCCTCTTACCTCTTTACCGTTTCTCTTGCCAAGAACGACTACCGCGCCGTGAGTGATCCCGCGGAACAGAGGCCGTGTACTCCGGTGAGAATTTCGGCGCGATCAGTTGCATCTGCTAACCGGTAGCTATCTAGCGCGAGAGAGACGCAGCCTTGTCCGAAGGAGCGCTCTCGACCTGTGCCGTCAAGTCCTATCTTCTTCGTGGTCCAGCGTCGATCACATCAGATTGTTGTTTTGTCGTCGTGATCGACCTATCGGATCACCGTTTGCTCCTGGGAACTCCCCTTCCCTCACAAAACTCGTACTCGATAATCGATCTTCCTGTTAAGCGTCAATGAAAACAGAAAGGTATTATGCACGAGTGCTCCTCTTCTTGTTCTATTTTTCGGTTACTCTCTAAAATGTGCCCGTATGATTTATATTTTTACATTGTTCCATACGATTACATTTGGAATTTATGTTTCTTGAGCTTGTAGATTTTCTTTGACGCGTTGATCAAATTGTGGAACATTTTGACTAGCATTTAGATCATTATCATTCTTATCATTTTTTGTCAAAAACGCTAAGAAAAAGTATTTTTGAAATGTACTTCAGAAATCTCTGTTTCATAAAATTCCAAATACTGTATCGGCAACTGTGCTATCTGCTAACGATATTGATATTAGAGTTTTTAGAGAATATTTTGTTGCGTAGAATCAGTAATATATTATAATATATTCAGTAAAAGTTTGTAATAATACTGTAACAGTAGCTGTCTAAAGAATATATTACTGAGTTTTACGTTTAAAATCAGTAATGTATTCAATACATCTTTCGTAAAATCAATAATATATTTAATAGATAGACAGTTGCTAATATTACAAGATTTGTGATTTTATGAAATGTGCCTCTGATCATATGGTGTAAAAATACATGTCTTCGTTGTACACAGAATGGGACGGTGTATATTTACGTTTCTCGAATCGTTATGTACAGCATAGAGATCAACGTTAGAGAAGATATGTCGGAACAATATATAGTCGTCGTTAGAATAGTCGAGATATTTTTGTGTTTATTTTCGTATTCCATTTTGAATAGTGGTCGCTCAAAGAAACGCTCATTGGACATCTCGTGAGGACAGATATTGCAAATTATTATTTACAAAACGGAGTCTCTTTTGTAAGCGAAGGATTGTCGCGCGAATTTCACGTCATTTGTGTGTAAAAATTAATAATAAATGAGCATGAAAATTTATATACAGAATATATCATAGATTTGGAAAAATTCGTGTTAGATATAGACAGCTCGATAAAATTGTAAAAATTGTTTGTTATATGTACATATATATTTTGATTCTCTCGCTCATTAAAGATATACGAATCTTTGCAGGACAAGATGGAGGACGCAGAAGATTTGAGGACAACGGTGGAGTTGTACATTTACGACCTTACCAAGGGTATGGCTTCAGTGATGTCGCCGATACTCATAGGTATGAACAAAAAAATAGGCACAATTATTATGTAACATATTATATTTTAATATATTTTAATTTCAAATGAAACATTGTATACTTGAGAAATTATTTGTAGATAGAAATTTTGTTGTGCTTAGCGGATACGTTATAACTTGCAGTTGATATTAGAGAAATGCATCGCATTATTGTTTTTATTATGTGCAATTTTAACTTTTGCCCTGATAATAGAGGAAATATTTTTCTTTGTTAAGCAGAAACGAAAACATCAAACAAAAAATCGATGATTTTGTCTTCGAATTGTTAAATGAAGAAATAACGAGGAAATTAATTTAGCTGGACTTCTTTGGTCAAGCGTATAAACGTGTGTTAATCTTTGAAAACTTTACAGTTAGTTGCAACAGTTTCATAAAAAGCGCAATCGATCACGGTTTCACTCGGATCTAAGGTCATCGATTCACGAATGTTGTTATTATCATTTGCGTGTCCGTACATACGTTATGCGCGGCGCTAGTCATTTACGGTTTTGAGGAGGGAGAAATCGAACGTCATGGACGCGTGATTCTTGCCAATTGTAAGACAATTTTGGACCAAAGACAATTTAAATATAAACAACCGTCGAGAATCGACTACTTTCGGTGACGATGACTAAGATACGACGACATTGTCGCATTATTGTGACAAATGTATTGCGCACAGAATGCGCCATATACATAGAAAAATACACGTCAAAATGAGAAAGGATCGTTGTGGAACGTGTGAATATAAAACTAAAAGGCGTAAACACTACCTAGACTAAAAATTAAATTAAACCAAAAATAAAATTAAATTAACGCGAAATGAATAATATATATATATGTATATCGATATTATTATAATTATTTATATATTTTTTATTAATGATAATTGATAAATTTAATGAATTAATGATGATATAAAATATATAAAATGTGTTTGACGCGGAGTATATACGTCTTTGCTTATAAGCACATGGAAAAAAACCGTAATACGTCAAACAATAATTTGCATCGCACGGAATTAGCCGTTTGGAAGAAATAGCGGAATGCAAAATGCAAACGAGATAATTCAAACGACAGTCTACGCAAATGTAAAATACGACATCTACGCTTCGTTTACGCCATGTCTCAATGTTTGTTCACACATGCGTAGTTCTCTCTCTCTCTCTCTTGTTCGCGAACAGCATCATCTATTTTCGCGTGCATCTAATAGAGCGATTTTATGCACGTGCGAACGGCATTCTGCGATTTATCCGAATATTGTTAAGAGACAAACTGCGTTTATGATCTGAATAAAGTAGCGGACGAACAGATGTTCTTATTTGTTGTTAAATTCGTGAATGTCGAGATTATCTTACAAGTATATAAATTATTCTGAGCACGTGTAGAATGTTAACGTGATAGAAATAAAAACACAAAATAAAAACACAAAAATAGTTGTATACAATTAATTCGAAAAAACATTAAATCGAAAGTTTCATTACGCGTTCAATTATTTCGTGAATATATTTCGTTTGCATTTTTTTTTTTTTTTTCGTGTCGACATTCTGAGATTTGCTCTTCGAATTTGGTTTCTTAAATGTCGAAAGCATTGCGTCTCACGCACCGCTCTGCAAGTAATTATAACGGCCGAGTTATTTCTTGCGAGGTCGACACACTACACGTGAAGCTCGAAACCGCAATGAGAAAGCCGCACGAGACGATGTGTGTGCGTACGCGGATGTACTTAGTTATTTCCGCGATGCAGAACTGGGTCAAAAGTGGTACATAAGGAGTCTGCAAGTTTAAGCTTTATCTTTCTCTCTCTCTCTCTCTCTCTCTCTCTCAGAGCTCTCTGCGAGCTTTATTTTGAACAATCTAGCAAGCGAATTTACACGAGGACAAATCGCGACAGTTATTAGGTATCTCGTCCCGTTGGTCCTTGGACAAGAGTGGCGCAAGCTTGAATTTAAGCCTGTCTCGAGGTTGCTTTGTTGGAGCGCGACATACAAATAGAATAAATTTTTATAATCTCGTTCTTTCTGGAGTCAAAAAAGTCTTGCCAAGAATGATCTTTTTTTAATCTGTTCCGGTCAAAAGTAATGAAAATCCGTAGTTGATGTGTTGCATTCAAGCGAATAAATTTTGGGGCTTTAATGTTAAAAAAATCAATTATTGAAGACACATCCACTTCATTTTCTATAACGAACTTAAATCGCACGGATTATATATATTAAAATAAAAGATATAAATATGTACTTTTAATTAGTTATCTGACATTTTTGTATTGTGTGAACGCATCAGATATTTTGCATTAATGTTTAACGAGTTTCAATAAAAAAAATTCTGCATTTTCTGTCTACAGGTCGTCAGTTGGACGGAATATGGCACACAGCGATAGTCGCATACGGAAGGGAATACTTTTTTGGCCCAGCCGGCATCCAAAGCATCCGACCTGTAAGTGTCTTCCTCTACTGACAATCGCGCGGTCCGATCGTCTCCGATCGGGACGAGAAAATCGATCGATTTATCGCTTAGCGTTTATCTACTTACCTTACGACGCGAAACATTCTAAACAATATATGTATATTCAGGTATTTCCGTTTAGTTACGCAGATGGTCCTCGTCGCGTCGTACCCGATACTCCGCACGAGTGCTTTCTTTTCTCTATGTTGTGAGTATTTTCGTACCACGTTGGAAACACAGAGTATAGAAACATCAAATACTGCCACAGTGATTCTCGGCCAGTATCAACAATCCACGGTGAAGAGAGCATCATAAATGATGCGCGCCACTCAAATCGGTAGTGAACGATCTGATTTTCGAATTAAAAAAAAATAAATAAATAAATAAATAAACAAATACTGAACTTTGCACATCTACTTCAGTCATCGAACTTTACTTTCGACGATTTCGGTGTTTTTATCTTCATGTCTTCGCGCTACTCTTCATTATTCACACCCAAACAACTCTATTTGAGAGAAAGAGTCGAATTCGCATGTTTTTCGTTCATATCGTTCATATTGTGTGAAAATATGGATTTTGGAATCTGTACTCTCTTGCTATTTCGAATTTATGATTTTTTTTTTTTTTGTGCGTATTCTTCGCACATCTCGTGTACACGCACTTTCCTTTTCCGACGTTGGTGATTAATTGTATGAGGTAGGTCGCGGGAACGAGCGCAATATATAAGCAACCAGGGCGCGTTCTATCAACAAGTGACAGAATTAATGGTCCCCCGCTGCTTCCCGTGCTTCTCGACGTGCTGCTCTCGGTGTAGACCTCTATCGAAACGTGTATGTACGCGCGTTTGATGCATTCTCGTGGGTTAAAGTCCGTGACCGATCGGAAAGCCTAGTTGTAGCGGTAAAGCCCTCTCGGCAGGCCATACGATACGCGCTAGACACTAGCAGGAACTAAATTTGGTGCGGTACAACCCAAAAATAATCCTTGCTGCACACATACACACGCGCGCGCGTGCACTTTCTCTCTCTTCGTCTTTCTTTCTCGGCTACTCTCTCTTTCTCTCTCTCTCTCTCTTGTTTTACGCTTCTTCACGCGTCTCGCGACTCGTCGTAAAGCAAAAGCTGTGCCGCTTAGGTAAGTCACCGCCCGTATTCTTTTGCACCCCGCGACGAAGTTGTTCTTCAAGTTTAAACATCACACGGTAGTATAGTTTTTTTTTCTGTAAATTATTTACGCGAGCGACGCGCGTTAAAATATCGTGAATTCTGCGCGAACTTTTCAAGTAAATGAGAAAACATCGCCGAAGTAGGTAGTCCACGTACCTAAAGTCATGTTACTAAAATATGTTCTCCGTCTTCTTGTGCGAGTGACAAAGATATCACCGGGATAATCGAATGGTCGTGACACACCCGACACACGCCGACGTTACAATCCAAAAGCGACGCGATGATATCATTTGTGGTTGTATCATTTCATCCGTCTCGACTGTTGTGCTTTAAATACGCGCGAGTATGCCACGACTAACGCGCGTATAATTGTAATACGCGTCTCTTTACGATGCTCTAGGATGTTTGATGTTGATGCGACTGACACGCTCGTTTCTACGAAATTCAGTGATTGGCTTCAAAATCGCTTTTGGAGTGAGAGAACTCTCGCGTTAATAGTTTTTCAAAACTAATCTTTTCCAAAACAAATATTTTTTATCACACTTATCATCACACACACGTATGTAATATTTATATTTTTTTGTGTCTGTGACTTTTATGCAAAAACTAGATTAAAATTTAACGAATGCGATTGTATTTTTGTTTGGGACTTCTGCGATACTCTTTTTTTTTTTTTTTTTCACGGGAAACGTCGTGTATGTTATCTATGTTGTATCTTTCTCTCTTGATTTTGAGTAGTATTTCATTATCGATAGCTCTCCAGTGCGATCGACTCTCGACGAGTTTGCAAAGTCAAAAGAGAGCGCGCGCACCGCCGTCACGCGAACAACTCCGATTTATCGTCGCGGCGTCTTGTGTTCGCCAGCTTCTTCGTGGTGTCTCCGTGAATCCCCGCGACCGATACAGTCCGCTTGCGAGCCGTTTCCCATTCTCAGGGAGCGCAGGACAGTCTCACAGGACGGTCTTCAACGTGCGATCCTGCGAATATCCTTTCAATACGTAAGTGCACGCGCGCGCGCGCACGCGTTTCCACGGTTTTATCCCGCGATTATGGTGTCAAGTGTGGCAATTGATTATTAAGATAATGTTTGAAAAAAACAATAAAAGAAACAAGTGCGACTCTACAGTGCGAAAGATCTACGTTGAGGAGCAAACGTTAAAAAAAGTTATCGTTATTTTCTCGCAGTACGTCCGAGATAATTTGCGTCAAAAATTTACTCAGTGTCGGAGCTAACTTCGGCTGAGGAGTGTAACTTTGTAAATTTGTTTTGTGAATAATCCGAGCGATTAATTGATTTATTTTAATGAGTGTCAATGTAACAATTATCTTTTTCACTTAAAATTTCAATGTATTTGTAAAAATAAACTTAATTTTCGCACGTATCTTCATTTTAGGAGCAACTGTGCTTCTCCGGAGCGTCTTCTCTTTAATTTTCAGAAGAATCGCGCGCGCGCGATTTAACGCAAATTAAATTTTTCACAAACTGTTTCTTCTAATTTTAATTTTACTTTGTTTCTGTTGTACTAAAATCTGTCATATATCTTGGATAAGAATTTATTTATCTGCCGGAAGAGAGGAAACACACTATCGCATACAAAACAAAAAAAAAAAAGATTTAATCTTCTCAACGAGCGGCCCAAAGGTAACAACTTTTTTCTCGCATCTTCGTTCGTTCTTCGCTTTTCCGACGCGTCTTTCTTTTGCGTTCTAGAAGAGGTCGCGCCGCGACCAACGCGCGCCACGAGTATCTATTTTCGGTGGTTTCGTGTAGGGAAGCGTGGATTTGTCGCGTAGTTCTAAATTTACATGACCACTAATGCCGGGAGGAAGGCGGGTGGTTCCCTTCCTTTCTCACTCTTTCTCTATCTTCCGTGCTTGCGGCGGATGAAACTCTCCCAACTCGGGATCGACAAAACTGCCCGCGAAATAATTGACATTGACGGCGCGGCGTGGTTCTTCCACGAATGCGATTTTAAACGCATCGGCATTTCATGTTTCAGGGCGGCACCGAACTGGGAGAACCGCAACGAGTTGAGAAGCTCGGCGAGACTCATCTGCCGTACACGGTCTTCTTGGAGTACATCAACGGTCTGGGAACTTCTACATTCGCGTGAGTACCTACCGTTCCCGGTTGACGTGTGTTCGAGAGTTGCTCTTCGATTTTTTTACGTTTCGCTTTTCTACATGTCTCCACTTACTTCAGAAAATGACCGAACATTTTGAAAACATGCCGATTAGATGTTCTTCCAAGCATGATTTATATGTGGTTTTTATTATTTGTGTCAATCTCGTTTAGTTTTAACATTTAATAATTCGATTCTACTTGTTGATATCAAATCAATCTTATTGTTGTTCAAGAATTTTGTGTGACAAATGATTTTGTGCTTTCAGTCCGGGCACGTACAATCTCTTCAAACATAATTGTAATTCCTTCACGGAGGAAGTCAGCAACTTCCTGGTGGGTAGCGGCATTCCTAAGTATATCCTTGATCTGCCGGAAGAAATACTACAAACGTATGTCTCATTAATTGTTAATTTTAATATTGATTATGGTTATATATTTTCACACACTTTCGTATAACTCATTTCGATTGTAACAAATTATATATATATATATATTTTTTTTTTTTCAGGCCTATTGGGCAGGCTCTAGGTCCATTGATAGAAACACTGAGTAATAGCTCGAGTTCCGGATTCACCGTCGGTCAGAGATTCGTCGAAGCTAGAATCCAGAGAGAAGCTTCGCCGGAATATCAATTACTGAACACAGCTATCGAAGAAGCGAGGTAGTATTTGTGTGCGAAGAACAAAAATTATTGGCATTTAATAAATATTCTTGAATGAATACATTGAAATTTTTCCTTCGTTTTTTGTAGATTGAATTCCATCGCATTAAAGGAACGAAGGAACGTCATCAACGAGAAGCTAGCAAAGAAAGACAGAAAGAAGAAGAAGAAGAAGAAGGAGAAGAAGGAAAAGAGCAGTAGGGAGACTACTGGCAGCGACAGCAACAGCACCGGGCCGAGCAACTGCGCAGACATGGCGGAGCATGAGAGTATGTTTAAAAAAAAAACATAAATAAATAGAATTTATAAATAGAATTTATAAATAGAATTTCCGCAAACTTAAAATTAATTTCTACGTCATTAATCAGGTGCGATTGGCGAGACGCAGCAGCAGGCGGCTAACGGAGAAAGCACGTCTGCGGAGATGTTACCGTCCGAGCGAGTGAAGCAGATGGAAGAAGACGAGAAACGCGAACAAGAAGAGAAGAAACGCTATAGAGATCCACCGATAGTGTTCAAAGACTTAGTGGATGTACGAGCGGAATACGAAGGCTTGGTAAACGCTCTCGAGGGGAAGTTGAATGAGGAGGAGCGAAGGTGTATGGACGAACTGCGACAATATGTTTTGGAGAATGAGGGTTCGTGGGCTTTGGGTGATACCTTCTTAAACTTCGTAGGTGAGTCATCAAACTTAAATAAACACACACATCATACGCAAGATCTTCAAGTTGTAAATAATTTTACACGAAACTGTTCTGAATTTATAAAATAGAAAAAACAGTAAGTTTACTTGTATTTTGTTTTTCATTACAAAATAACATAAAAGATTGTTAACTGACTTGACAGGTCGAGTTCTTTGGGATAGATCATTGAACACCAACGCACGAGTAAAATTATTGAATGTTTTGTCCGTCGCCGCATTGAAAGACGATGTAATTCTGCTGCTGCATCAGGACAGGCGGGAACATATCATCATGAATTATGCCTTCGATATCGATCGACATCCACAAGAAGAACAACTTCCACTCGCACAATTTGTAAGTATATAACGTTAAAAATAAAAATTATTTTAACTCTCTTTCTTTATTAAATATTGTAATGTTTTAACTGAACAAAAAAAAAGATAATAGAAAACTTAGTTTAACAGTTTTTTGTGTTTCAATTTGTTTCCAACAGTTAGCGAACATGTTTGAGAATCTCAGCAGTTCGGAGTGGCTGCTCTACATATCCGAATGGCAGCATCAGAATCAAAGCATTAGCAACATAAGAGTAACGACCAAGGTCGCGGTGCACTCGTTACTCTCGAACTCGGAAGATCTGCAGATCCGTGGTGCGGCCATTATTCACAATCTCGCCTGCAAGGAGGTAAAAACTGTGGTCTGTATCCTTCCTGTCCGATTAACATTCTCACTCATCTCTCGTCGAGTTCTTGCTTTCATTTTGATAACTGCAGTCATCTCGCGCATCTCAGGGCTCATTCTGGTTCGAGGATATTAATTCGACGATAAGCGAGATTAGAATCATATTAGAATCTTTTTTATTTTATTTATAACGACAACGAGAAACTTATAGAATTAGACTACTCGTACCTGTCGAAAATACAAATGAGAGTTTTCCTTCGATGCGCAATTTTTTTTTCATAATAATGTTGCTTTGGGAATGCGTGCTTGCTATAGGAAACCAAACGATGCTCGCACTGTGTCATGAGATAGAAGTGCTGCCTTTGTTAAGTAAAAAAAAAAAAAGAAATCAACTGTATGTCTCTGTCAATGCTAAACGCAGCCGTCGACTTGGACATCCCTGGCAATCCGATTTCACGAACGAACGTCAAAAGAAAAAACTAAAAAAAAAAAAAAAAAACAATTCTATACCTGTGCCATTAATCATATAGAACGGTTCTAAGGATACGTGACTGTCTGATGTAACTCACTCGATGCTCGTTTGCATGTGCACAAAAAAATTGAAGCTCTCTAATCCGAGGCAGCCGATAGCGCTGCGTGTAACGGATACCTTTTCCAGAAATCGGGTGCTATTTTTTCAGAAAATGAACAAAAGCAAAAATCTGCGGCAACTTTTACCGAAAGGCAGCATTTCTAAGGTATCTATCCATATTAGATCAAATCACTCGCCGCGGTAAGTCGTCAACTATTATCGAGCGCAATTTGAATTGCAAATCTGACGATTGCTAACTTATGTTAATAAATTCGTTATAACAGTGTTTTTATGCGTACATCATTTTGTTTACTCGCGCAAAAAATTATACATACGCTATTATTTTTAAATAACCTTGCCACACATATGAACCGTAGGTATTCGACGATGTTGCTGTGGAATTAACAATGGCGTTGCTTCAATATTTCAACGGCAGTCCCGCGGAAGAGCAGCTGTACGCGTGTATGAAATCACTGGCGCGTTTCACGCAAATCAGCGGTCAGGAAGTGCCACAACTTATACAGATGATCGGACCCGAACCAAATAAATTCAGGGGTACTTCTCAGAGAATCGACGAGCAGATAGATCAAGTTAATAAGAAACTGCGCTAGAGAAGTTCAACTAATTGTTCGCGACAGTATCGTGTTCCAAGCGAGATAAAAGAAAATTCATTTTTTCGCTACGTTTAAATTGAATTCATACTCAGACATTGTATTGACACAAAACTCATTTACTAGTATAATTAATTATTGTTGTCATTTTAATATATTATTATCATGTTATAATATATAATTATTATATATATATTATATACACTTATTATTATCATTATATATTGTTAGTAATACTCGCCTCGATTGCGACGTGCTCGACACAGAAGATGTCAATATTTTGTCCTCCTCTTTCAAAACTATTTTTCTCGATCGGAGAAATAAAAAATTTAGAGTTCCGTCGATGTTCGATCTAGCGTGATTGACAAGACCAGGAGAAATCGTATATATTTGCCGCGAAAAAATATTTTAACTCTTTGAGCGTCTTGGTTATAGCGTTGAACTACATCCAGATCTGTTATATACATATATATGTTATTACATGACATAAATTGCTATAATGTCACATTCTGTTAATCTTTCAGTTTGTCTATTCGTCTATTCATTTTTTCTTTCTATAGAAAATTGAATCTATAATGTCATTTTGATATAAAACTTAGATAGAAATAAAACGCACGTGTCGATGATATGTACAAATCATCTTTTGTTATCGTCGAATTTCGAAGTTTTGGCACAATAATTTTTCACCTGAGTAACACAGAACAATAGCGTCGCCAACACATCGATTGTTTACCGCAGTTTTAGAAAATCTACACTATGTACAGAAAGAGCAAACTCACGTTACGCTTTGGAATCACAGTTTGCGACATTTTTTACGTCATATCTCAAAAGAATTAAGTAGATAATAATAGAATATTACAAAAAGAAAAACCTACTAATTATCACGTGGCAATAAAGTTTGTAGCTGCTCATCAGCTGTTGTTAATCTCTCATCAAGGTTTTTCTCGTGCACGTTGATTTTTATCAAATTGTAAACAGAACGTAATATATAATCGTGTGAAGGATTTAATCGGACTTCTTTGCATCTTTATATTGAGCTTTGAGAATAGACTTGTAGCAAGATGGTGATAAGGAATCTCATCAGTTGCTGACACGAAAGTGTGCCATTCACGTTATTAATATTCAAGTGTTGAAGAGAGAGAAGAAGAGCTTCATTTTCAGCTAAATATACAGACATAAAAGTAAATGTAAAAATAAACAATCAAAGTTTATATTGATTTCTTATTTCTATTTTTTTTTTCCATCTAACGTGGTGTTCGCGTCCGTCAAAAATGTCCGTCGAGGAGCGTTCGATTCCGAAACAAAAATCATGTTCTACAGTAACCAAATATGTGCCGGTTGTCGGCTGGTTACCGCAATATACTCGATTGCAGGCTGTGTCGGATCTCATAGCGGGCATTACTCTGGGTTTGACCATGATCCCTCAGAGTATGGCTTACGCTGCATTGGCCGGTCTTACTGCGCAGGTATTATTCTTTAATTTCTCTTTACTTGCTTATAACAAATAAACAAATACGTAACAAATATAAATTTTTATAGTATGGCTTGTACTCTTGTTTCGTGGGTGGCTTTGTATATGTTTTTTTCGGAACCATCAGAGAGGTCTCGATTGGTCCTTCGTCTTTGATGGCTCTTATAACACTTCAATATACACGAGACATGCCAGTGGATTTCGTAGTACTCTTATGTTTTCTGGCTGGATGCGTAGAATTTTTAATGGGTGTTTTACATTTAGGTTTGTATATATTATAGATTGTCTATTTATCTGAAAAGAGGTTTTAATGATTACTTGTATTATTAATTTCTTAGTAATATAATTTTGTATCTAAATGTGTTAATTAACTTGATGTGTGTTAACCATCGACATCTTCTGCAGGTTTCATAGTGGATTTTATTTCGATGCCAGTTACATCAAGTTTCATATCAGCGACCTCAGTCATTATAATTATTGCTCAGCTGCAGGGTCTTCTAGGACTCAAATACAAGTCAGCTAATATTGTAGACAACATATACAAAATGTTTAAGAACATTAGTCAAATACGGCCGACCGATCTCACACTTGGAATTTGCAGTATTATATTTCTTCTATTTTTTAGGGTGAATTATGGAATTATAACTCTAAATATTTATGTATAGCATACATATATTAAACATATATGTATATGTACATATACACATATATATGTATAAATTCTATTTGCAGAAAATGAAAGACATTGATTGTTTCTCGAAAAACGAAAAAAATCTTTCTAGAAATTCTACGATAAAGAAGATACTGTGGTACTTTTCCATCGGCCGAAACGCTTTAATTGTGTTCATAACTACGACGATAGCTTATCATTTTGAAACAACAGGATCCGCTCCATTTAGACTTTCAGGTTTTGACTCATAATTATTATGTTGATATGACCAATTGCTCGAGTAAGTACAAAATAACATAAGTTTCACTAATAGCTATTGCAAAATTATGTATGTAATATACATATACACACAAAATAATAAAAAATTTGTAACTTTAATAAAATTATTGTTTTCATTTGTTCAATATAATGATTACATAATTAATATAATCGGTATTTTTTATATGAAAAATTATTATCAATCTTTTACAAAATATTGTAGCATCAGTAAATATCTTTTTTTTTACAGGGAAAATAGAATCCGGCCTTCCTGCAATATCATTACCGCCTTTCTCGTCACAAGTAGGGAATCAGACTTATACATTTCTCGACATGTGCACCTATTACGGATCAGGAATTGTAATACTTCCTCTCATTTCGGTTCTGGCTAATGTAGCGATAGCCAAAGCATTCGGTACGTATTCGTTGGTTTTTCAATCTCAAATCAGACAGCAGATTATTTTAATCATAATTTTTTATTGTAACATAATTGGAACTTTGCGACGAATAATTTTCTTATAGCGACCGTTGGTTTTTCAATCTCAGATCAGACAGCAGATTATTTTAATCGTAATTTTTTATTGTAACATAATTGGAACTTTGCGACGAACAATTTTTTTATAGCGACCGACGCTGTTAACGCGACGCAGGAAATGCTGACTCTCGGTCTCTGCAACATATTAGGTAGCTTTGTATCAGCGATGCCAAGTACCGGAGCATTCACACGAAGTGCAGTCAGCAGTGCCAGTGGCATACAAACACCAATGGCCGGTATATATTCCGGTAATATATAATATATAATAATCTAAATTATTATATATAATAATATTTTAAAATATTTTTTTAACATATTGAAATATATCATGTAAAATAGTTTAAGTTTTTTCTTTATATATAAAAACTATAATATTATACATATTAATATTTATTCTAATGTGAAAATATTTTTCTTTCTCTTTTGATTGAATCTTAAATTACGAATTGATAACACATCGAAACAAAAATATAATGAAAAGACACCTGATCACACAGCATATCATAAGCCACTTGGCATACGTTAAATACAAAAACGTGTTATGTAATTTACAATACAATACAATAACCTTGATAGAATATCGCATGATGTTGCACAATTGTGAGATATGCTATGTAAATAAAGGAAAGAATGATGTCGCATTTCTTCATTCCAGCAACTATGACATTGTTGGCGTTGAGCTTTCTGACGCCGTATTTTTATTACATCCCACGTGCAACGTTATCGGCAGTGCTGATATGCGCCGTGATGTTCATGATCGATTTCAAGATCATAAAATTGCTCTGGAAAGGATGCAGTCAGTAACAGACGTTATAACGTTACGCCCTCGCGCGTAACATTACAAGCGCGATCTAATATAAATTTTTGTTTTTTATATATAGAAACAGACGCATTTGCTGCGATAGTAACCTTCTTGGTTTGCGTTCTTGTCAGCGTCGAAATCGGGCTTCTTCTGGGCGCTATTCTCAATTTGATCTTTTTTATCCGACCGTCTGCAAGACCGGAGATACACGTTGCCAACTGCAAAGTAAGATACAATTATTTTTCAACATATCGCGTATATGTGTAAATTTTATGTGTACATATATATGTATATTTTTTTCTTCTTAAATCATGTTATATTCATAAATTTATGTTACAATGTTCGCACAAGTAAAAAACGATTTGAATAAAAAACGCTATTACAGCGCAATTTGTTGTTAGTTATCAGGAAACGGATTATTATTGTTATATTACGAATAAATCCATAATATTGGTTTTTTAGACTCATTTAGGAAATGGATACATAATGTTAAAGCCCGATACGTGTCTCTATTATCCCGCAGTGGCGCACTTCTGCGACAAAGTAATGAATGTAGCCAGAACCGAACAAAACGATGTCCCCTTGATCGTAAATTGTGAAAGATTTACTAATCTCGATTATACTTCCATCAAGGTAATCTAAGTTGACAACTGAAACAAAGTTTTCACGTCGATTCAGTAAAAAAATTTATGTTCGTAGAAATGTACGTGAGTTTTGTTACAGACTATCGAAATGCTGTCGCGAAGATTAAACGCGAAAGGTAATCGATTCTGGTTGTTCAATCTCAATCCCGAAATTGTTGAAAGTATTGCTGCTCTCGCCGATAACAAGTATATTCGTCTGATCGAAAATGAAAATAGCATCGCAGATTTTCTTTATGGTACGTATATATGTTAAACAGCAAATTTATGTGCATTAATAAATTGTGTTTGATTGCAGCGGATTAAACACGCCTATTAAACGACTAATATTTAACGTCAATGCATAAAAATAATATAATTGATAGTTGCTCAGCCATCAACTATAATTTAATTGTCAATGACGTTGTTAATGTCTAAGTGCGATTTAATCTGCTGCGATTAGTTTAAGTTTTTATTCTTCGGTACCCTCGATTAGTGTCGTTAGCCACAATGTATACCTATACATACGGCTGATCGTCGACTAAAGTCGACAGTTGCAAAAGTATCGCGCTTTTCTTCGAGTGTCAAGAAACAACGCGGCATACTAAAAAAACTATGAATAATGTACATAAATTAGCAGTTTAACACACTACGTCATTGCATAACTGAATGACGAGTAAGTTTTGCCTGATTTATAGAACGTTTTGTGTTTTATACGCTGTAATATTTATTTGCGCTGGCAACAAACAAAATAATTTTAAAATGTCCACGGTACAATGCCATTTTGGTAGTATTATATCTGTGGTAAAACCCAAACGCTATTTTAAATACTGATGAAAGAGAAATTAATTAAAATTTGATTACAAAATCAGACAGTTTGTTTTCTTTTTTTAGATAACACACCGACAAAAGAATTCGAAGAATTTACATCCAGGAAGAAATCAAGAGAAGCGAGAAAAGATGCATTGTATTCGAATTCGCTTCAAGCAGATTCCGAATCAAATGCTGAAGAAATGGCTTTGGTAATATCATCTGAAACCAAAACACGGCAATAACAACTTGATTTATTTTTTGTTCGACCTGAAATCATACTCAGACAAGACTGAAAAAAAATATTTTGAGGATAATATATTACGTATATTATGTTGAAATAGAAATAGAATGTTGTCAGCATTTAAAATATAGCCTGTTATTTTATCTAGTTGCGAGAAAGACAAAAATCGAATGAGAATAAACTATGTTCACGGCATGAATGTAAATAACGTTGCAACAATCAAATAACAATCAAACAACTGTCTCAAAATCATATAAATATATACATATATAATTATATATACTTATTTATAAGATATCTAAATTTGTTCTTATATGCAAGATTTTTTTCTCTGATAGTTATGCAACAAAGTCACGCACACACGATGCGCAACACACCGTACTTCCACATTTTATATATGTATATTTATATTATATTTATATTACTAGACAAAACTAAGAATTGTGAGACGAGAAATAAGAGTTTTAACTCAGTAACAGTTGAACCGATTGGCTTCTCTTTAGTCTTAATCGATTAAAAAATAAGAACAATTACACAAAGACAAATAGTAGACTCAGTAAAATAATACAAAAATGCTTTCTTATCTTGTTTTTCTATGTGATCTTTAAATAAAAATTCACGATAAAATGTGAAACATCTCGATTCAGTAAGCAAATAAGAAAGAAAGTAAAAGACGTCATTCAACACTAGGCAGAGAGAAAATATTTTTTTGCAGATTATTCTTGATACGAATAACATTAAAGATTAAATACCAGATTATACTGCAATATATTTCACAATTTGTTGAATGTGCGCATTAAATACTCACCAGTATTGCAAGTATGTAAAACTAGTCAAACATATATAGAATGTAATTTCTTGAAACTTAAAGAACATTTTATGCGACTTTTTTATATTCAGATATTTCCTGTTGAATAAATACGTAGTTAAGTCAACAAGATGATATTAGAAGAAAAAAGTTGACCTTAAAACTTATACTTGATATATGTACTTAACGTTTTTTGCTGAATTAATAATGATTTCTCGATTACTTGAAATCATAATGTAACATCTAGTGAAATAATCAGTTCTTCTTCACACCTCTTTCAGTGTTAACTTTGTGTGCATAGGGTAAGTATTATCTTTTACACGTGTAACACTATAAGATTCTCCACATTGTAACTCTAAAACACAAACTTCCTGAGCATCGGAAAAAAACGCATTCTGGATCTTGAAGAGGCATGTGCTTTCGTCATATACATGTATAGGCTGCGTTCCGAGCTACGCATATGCGCGCATATGCGTAACTCGGAACGTGTACGTAGAAAAATATATCAAAAAAAAAAAAAAAAAAAAAATTAACGGGCAATGATCATTTTCAAATAAATTGAAATTCGATGTAATGCGATCGATACGCGTACTGATACCGTGCTGCAACATTTTCGTCCGAAGGTGCGCAATTCGAAAATTAACATGACATTCAGATTTTTTAAATCAAAGTAATTGTGCTTTTTAACGTTACAGTCCTAAAAGTATTCTTAAGAGGGTACCGACTATGGAAACCTGTAAATAGACGTTTTAGAAACCTAAATTTCTTTAAATTTCTAATTATTTTTACTGCATTACATGAAAAGTGTTTCTACAGAAACAAATAAATATAAAAAAACTACATAGAGTTAATGAGACCATAATAGAAACGTATTCACGTACTAACAAAGAAATAAAAAAATTTTGCGTATATTTTTAGAAATTCTTACGTATGTTCATTTCACGTATGGCGTATTTATTTAATGTCAAGGAGATTGTTTTGATTGGAGGTGTAATTTCTTTTGTAATTAATGATTCGATAAATTTAAAAACAGGTTTTTATTTTCACCAAGAAGCTAAAACCATTATCTGGTAACCTAGTGTTGCCTGTCATGAATAATTGAACGGGCATATTTAATGGTAACAAAAGCGACGTGAGTCAGTGTCAGTCGTCAGTGGAGCCAGTGGAGTGTGTAATAAACAACAGTAGTACACTAGTGTATGTCGTGAAATGTCTCGTGTGTTTGTAATAAATGCTGGCTCGCGGAGCCGAAGAGATATTATTGGCCAACTTTTAGTGAACTTTCCTATCCTAGTCCTCTTGAGATTTACAGATCCAAGCATCCCACCGCTGTTCGGAGGTTATAATATGCTGTAATGCATGATCGTAGCGTTTGTATTCAAGAATCGTCGGAGCAGATAAGAAGGATTCGGATCATGTTACATACATACAATGTGACAGTAATTACTTGAAATTAGTCATCAATTACTTGCAATCTTGTGCCATCTCCACTTACTGTTAGCTAAACAGCGTTTAAAGTGCACTACTGTTGTTCTACTATATTTTAATTGTGTAAACGTCGTTAATTTTTCATCATGACTAAGGATGAAATGGAAATGCATAAAAAACGTACCAGAAGACAATCATGCGGAAAAGTTTTCTATAGCATACCTGAACAGATATCTAAAGGAGTGGAACATTTTTTTTATCGGTAAGATTTTTTTCACAGTAAAATTAAACATCTCAGAGTAAATTATGAAACCTGTCAGTTTACTAACAAACTTATGCTTGTTTCTCTTTTTTTTACATAGTCTCGGAGTGAATATTGCACAAAGTCCGGTCAAGTGGATGATAGGATGTTCTGTGATAATATTAATCTGTATCTTGGGCTTATTACGTTTTCGACAAGAAAAAAACCCAACAAAGCTTTGGGTCCCACCTGATTCTGACTTTGTGTCAGATACTGAATGGCTAATGTCACATTTTGAAGAAGGTTTACGACTTGAAAGCTTTATTTTAACTGGTGACAATGTTTTAGAACAGCAAGCACTTGTTAAAGTAATTGAATCTTATTGTCAATTGTGTTAATGCAGTAGATATTTCTTAAGGTGTTTTGTTTTATACATTCAATCATAGAAAGATAATATTAAGTGATAATATTAAGTATTTTTAAATTTTCTATTACAGTTAAATGAATTAACTAAACAAATAACTTCAGTAGATGTATCAAATGATAAAATTTCATGGCCAGATGTTTGTATGAAGTAAGTATATTTACATATGTCTATATATATATATGTATTTGTGTGTGTGTATGTATATGAACTAGTACACAAAATCAAAGGTTTTATTTAAAGTAGTATATAAAATCCAGATTTTTCTATATTCTACAATTTTTCAAAAAATTTAGATAAAATTAAAAGTAAGATTATCTTGTATTGAAACACTTCTAATTTTTAACTGTGTATATATATGTATATTTATCTCTATTTTTTATACATGAATGCATAAGATATTATATTTATATATTACAATACATTTATTTGTGATAACATTGTGGTAACAAACATTGTAAAAAACTCAATGATATTATTTACAGAATTCCTTCTATCACTGGCTACAATCGTAGAAAAAAGAGACAAGTATTAGAAGATAATTTTTTTGATGATGATCTCATTTCAAGAGTTAACAAGTCTTTATTCGAACCTGCCGTTCATGCTGATACCAACTTATATTGCAATATACTTAACAGCTTACCGATGGTTTGCGTTATATTTAGTATTGTAGATATATGGAATTTTAATAGTGCTAGAATTGAAAAAGATTCTCAAGAACAAATTATTGAGAAGATAAACACAGTAAAAAACAGTCCCACATTGGGTCATCCAATAAACTTCAGTGAGCTTTTGGGAGGTATAACTCGGGATGAGAGAGGTAGGATTATTGCTGCAACAGCTGTAAAAACCGACCTAATGGTTCATGTTAATTTTCTCAAAGTGAACATGGATGAAAATGGAAACACCGCAGGAACTGCTGATTGGGTAAGGTGAGTTCGTATCGAGGCCTTAATCATATCATACAATTATTAAATATTTTGTATATAATGAATTTTTCTGAACACATTTTGCCACAAAAGTTTTTAATTTAAATGGAAAAAAGTTAAAAACAATATATAGAATATAAGTTCGTAAAATATTTATACGGACTGTTTGTATGATTTAGGCCTTATCTTATCTTTCTTCTTAACTTAAGAAAGATATCATTTAAAAAGTTTGGATTTTTGTTATTTTGATGATAACTTCATTTTGGTTCCTCTGTAAAAAAAATAAAAAATATATTTATTACATTGAGAAACAAATATAATAATAACTATTTATCTTACAAAGATGTTTTTTCGGGTTTGAACCGCCTTAGTATCATTTTTTTACCGACGTTTCGTGAACATTACAGCTCACTTCATCAGGGTTTAAACAGCAGTCTGATATCAGGCTGATAACGCGGTTCAAACCCAAAAAAACTTCTTTATATGTTAATATTAATACTCTACACACCGCGAAAGCATCAAATATCAAACTATTTATCTTATTTTCTCGTTTAAATACAATGATGTTTATTTTAAGTAATGAATATTTGGTAATAATTATTTGATGAGCTGTTAAAGAACATATTTAGTAACGAATATTTGATCTACTGCAAATAGTTGGATTAAGTAAGAGGTTCCTCATTCGCTAATTTTGTTTTCTCAGTGCAATAAGTTATATTTTCATATTTTTAGGATTTATTTTTTGGGAAAGAAATAGATATCAGTATTATCAAGTTGCAATTTGCAAATTATAATTTACATAAACAATGAATAAATAAAACTCAAATAATATGAATAAGTAAGTACAAATATAAATTACATCGTAATAAGAGTCTTAAAAATTATATAATAGGCAACGAGTGATGTACTAAAATGGGAATTGACTTTTCTGAACGTTATGAAAAAGTTTTCGAATAAATTGCAAAACGAGAAAAATGATAATGTCTCTCTAGCGCTTTATTACGAAGCTGGCAGAAGTTACGGAGATATTAGCGGAACATCCATATTCCAAGATATGGACAAATTGGCTGTGGGAAGTATATTAATGTTCCTATATGTTTTAACGATTACGTCAAATCAGAATTGGGTAGAATGGCGGGTAAGTTAATGTAATTGTTACGCAACTATCAAACAAATTCTGATTGATTTGACGTTTTCAACTATTGAAGTTTCTTCACACATGTTTTTTTGCAGTTCTGTCTTACTATTACCGGTCTTTCGTGTGTCGGTGGTGCGTTTTTAATCGCGGTGGGAATATGTTCTCTAATTGGAATTCCATACGGGCCTGTGCATACATCTTTGCCATTCTTACTTTTGGGTCTCGGAATAGATGATATTTTTGTGATTAATGCTTCTTGGAAACAGATACACACTGACGAATCGAATTTAAAGAAGCCATTAACGGAAAGAATCGGGCTTGCATTAGGTCATGCTGGTTCTGCTATTTGTATTACTTCACTTACTGATGTTGTGGCGTTCGTCATAGGTTCTTCTACAGTATGTACAAGATTAATTGACATTTATAAAAAGCGAACAATGTTGATTATTATGTAACTTATACAATAATTTATTTTTTTCTCTATATTTGCATTTTTTAAATTGATATATATACAGGGTGTCTGACAACGAACTATCAAGCCGACGTATGTAGGTAGATTGGGTCAATCTGAGCAGAAAAGTTATTTATCAGTTTGCAAAATTTATATCTCAATAGTTATTGAGATATAAATTAATAAATTTGAGTCAATGAGCGCGCGGAGGGCAATGATTGGACTTTATAGGCGTCCACGATTATCAGCTCTACTCCTCGCTTATCGCTGCTCGCTGCGTACCGCCCAATATTGCCTAATTGCAAGAAGCTGAGTCACGCCATGTTTGTTTGTTTTTCCGTACCTTATTGCTAAGACATTGCACAAGAGAAATCATTTTTCTTTACAGCTGATCGTGCACGCCTACAGAGTCCGATCATTATCCTCCGCGCAGGCGCGTTTTTAAGACTGGTAAAACTTCGGTGCAAGGACAAAAATGAGAGAACCCTTTAATTAATAATAATAATAATAATAGTAATAATAATTATTATTATTATNATTATTATTATTATTATTATTATTTATTAAAGGCAATTGGACAAAAGTTTTTAATGATTTTTTATTTGTATGCAAATTTAGAAACGAACACCTCTTCGAACTTTAACCGACATAAATTTGGTTGCAACATCTTCCAAATTTAAATTAATCAAAACATTTTTTTCTATTGATAATAAAGTTAGATCAGATGTTCTTTCCTGTGTCATGGTACTTCTTAAATAACTTTTAAGTCTCCTTAATACACTAAATGATCTTTCGGCACTCGCAACTCCGATAGGTAATGTTATGAATATTATAAATTTATAAATGTTTATCATGCACCGGGGGCCCGCAGATCCCGGGGCCCGTCGGTGCATCGCACCGGTTGCACCGACGTTAAATACGCCTCTGCCTCCGCGCGCTCATTGCACACATTTATTAACTCATATCTTACTAACTATCGCGAATTTTGCAAAATGGTAAATAACTTTTCTGTTCAGAATGATCTGATCTACCTACACACGTCGGCTTGATAGTTCGTTGTCAGACACCCTGTATATATATACAGTCCGACAATTACTTTAAAATCTCTCGTAGGCAGGAGTAAAATTGAGTCGAAAAGTCTTGAACCATTTTTTTCTATTACATATAATAAAGGAGTAATTATTGAATAAAAAACAAACCAATCAGCGTCGACCTTTAGCCGAACGCAAATCAGTGAACCACGCGCCTCGTGCATGAGCGCTCCGCGCGGCTCACTTACGTGCGCCCGGCTAAAGGTCGGCGCTGATTTGCTTGATTTATTCAATAATTACTTCTTTATTATATGTGATAGAAAAAAATGATGCAAGACTTTTCGACTCAATTTTACTCCTTCTACCTGTCTACTAGAGATTTTAAAGTAATTGTCGGACATCCTATGTATATATAGTTCGCTTTTTTACATAAAAATAAGTACAACGAAAAAAACGTGTAATATACACATCGTTCTCTTTTAGATATTGCCATCACTTGAATCGTTTTGTATCTACGCCGCAGTGGGTGTGTTAGTGACGTTTTTATTACAAATTACATTTTTCATTGCCTGCTTTACTTTAGACGCCAAGAGAATCGAACAAAAGAAAAACGGAATGTTACCGTGTATCGTGCATGAGAACTTTACACCCAAATTGTCGGATCCGAGCAGTGCATTATCATGGAGATTTATCAATGCCTTGTATTCACGCGTAATATTGACCACGCCCGGGAAGATTATTGTGATATTAATTACGATCGCGGCGATGTCCATAAGTATTACCGGATTACTTCGGCTCGAACAATGGTTTGATCCACTGTGGTTGTTGCCGAAAGAATCCTATTTAAATCAATACGCAAATACCCTCAAACAAATGTATCCCAATCGTGGATTTGACGCCTTCGTCATTATGGGAGACAATATTAATTATACTTCTGAATTTCCCAAGATGGTATCTCTAACAGAACGTTTGGGGAACGCTTCATTTATACAATATATCGAACCATGGCCGATTGATTTCACAAAATTCGTGTCAACATACTATGCTATAGGTATCGTATAATTTAATCGAGTCATTTATCTTGACAAACAACAAAACCAGTTATCTTGAAGTGTTTTATGAAGTTTATTTTTAAAAAATTTTAAATTACATAATCTTTGTTTGAAGATTCGATTTTTTGAACGAGAACGACTTGTCAATTGGTCGAATAATTTTGCGATATATATATATAATTTTTTTTTAAACAGATTTAAGGACAACAAAAGTCACAGACGACAGTTTTCACTTTTATTTGTCAAAATTTCTCATTAGCCGAGCTGGTGGCAAATATCAAAGGAATTTCCATTTTAACGAGACATTTAAATGCGGCAACAAAGCTCCACGAATCGTAATAGCAACAATTGATTTCAAGTACAAAGTATTCACTAGTCCTAACGAATGGATTCCGGCCATGGACAACAGTAAAGGAATAGCGAAAGGAGCGCAAATTGATGGGTACGTGACGGTATGGTGCAAGACATTCGGACCTTGGATCGCCGACAAACTAATCGGCCAAGAAGTTTATCGAAATATCATATTGGCACTTGTCTGTGTAATGGGTACCACTGCGATTCTCATCGCCGAGTTACAGACCTGCTTCTGGATCTTACTCTGTGTGCTCCTCACGTTGCTAAATGTTTGCGGTTTTATGTATTTTTGGGGATTGACAATAGACTTGGTATCTTGCATTGGTAAGTACGCTTCAGACGATTCTGTATCGACTGTTACTTTACATAAGACTCTTTCATAGGTCTCGAACTGGCTGTGGGTTTGAGCGTGGATTATGCCGCTCACGTCGCGCACGCCTTCCTGAATGCGGAGTCGCGGGAGGGTGACGGCGATGCTCGCACAGCGCGAGTGTTGATCGCAGTCAGACACATCGGCGCGGCAGTTGCGTACGGTGCTGGCTCGACGTTCCTCGCCGTTTCGATGTTGTCGTTTTCACGATCCTACGTGTTTGTGGCCTTCTTTCGAATATTCTCTTTAGTTATCCTGTTTGGACTCTGGCACGGATTGGTACTGCTGCCGGTAATGCTGAGCACTATCGGGCCACGAAGTTTGCGTGTGACGCAACAACCGACGCAGTTAATGCCCGTGAAGGACATGGTTGCGTCTGATAATGAAGATTGAAGAATTAGAATTACAAAAACGCACGTCAACGAAGTTTATTTCTCAGGCAATATCTTAAATATTCTTTATCAATAATATTTATTTTTGGTTCAATAAACATACAAAATTATTACACTATCCGTACTATTAATCACACATTTATACAAAAATAATAATAATAATAATAATAATGTTACGTTAGATAACTTAAAAAACGGTATTATTTATATATATAGATTTGTGTATATAATATATATATATATATATATATTAAGATTAAAAAATTAAAAAATATTAAAAACAAGTACAAAATAAATGTAGCACAAGATTGATATAGATTTATTATCAATCATCGATCGGAAAGGAACATGACTATTATAAACGTAACGTAATTTATGTTTTGCTGGATGCGTTTTACCCTTTATGCATAATCGTAATTAACATTTACGATGTAAAAATGAGCGGCGAGGGAGCAACCACGGGATTGATTGGCGAGCTCCCTCCGCTGCCTCTCTCAGTCTTGAACAGTCCATCTCTTGAACATTCGTTTGACTTTACAATCACGCAAACCTCGTCCTCTTTTTGTTTCTTCTTCCAACTTGTTCCTTCCACCCCTCTCGGTCTAAAGAGCTAGACCGACACCCGGCCGACGGAACGACAGCGAGATGGGGCGGATGAGTACGCGTATATACTCGAACAAGACGCACAGAGAGGCAGGGACGTAGTGGACACACAGGTATTCGTATTCGCTCGCACACACCAGCGTACATACATCGGAAACACTCTCGGAGGCATGCACGTTGTCTCCATACTCAAGCATACGACGGTAGTTAGACTGCCCGGGGCAGCACAAGCCACGCACGAACGATACGGCGATTAAGTTATTACACATCTTCTTAGTTAAGTTCGAATTTTACAAATTGGGATTCGTACATTTCATAATTGATGAGGAACCATCGATACAATAATAATTATAATAATATTTACTTAGCAAAACGTGCCGATCGGTAATTGTGGCGAATGACGCGTGATGTGAGCACAATTAGTTGCGTTAAAAGACGGGATGTCGGGGATTAATGGGGAGAGAAGGAAGGAAGAGGAGAGGAGTGGAAGAGGTCTCGGGAGGATTGGAGGACATTGCGAGGATGCGTAATGGTACACACGGCCGAGGAGAGGCACGGGGGGAATGGCGGGACGCCGAGGATGCTGATCGAGGGCAGTGGACCGTAAAGGAAGTCGCACGTCTGCTCGCCAGGATTTCAAGGTACACGCACTTAAGGGATACATCGTGGGAAAGACACTCAGGGCAGACACCGACATAGAGACTAGGCTACCGACACTATACGTTAATATCTATCTAAACGTGTAATTAGCGTACGCACCGCGCACACACCCGGTACGCCCGCACTCCGCCCGCCTTATGCGTGCAATCGGTTGCGGAAGGCGCGTCAGAAGCGCTCTCGCCAGGTTTCGTTTCTTTTTCGGCTCATCTATTTTCTTTTATTATCGTTTTTTTTTCTTTTTTTTTTTTTTCATTTATTATAATCAGCGATCGCGTCGTAGTCGTGTCTCTTTCTTTCATTTTTTTTTTTTTTTTTTTATAGTAAATGCTATGTAGGTTTTATTACTCAAGCTTATGCCCAAAAATCTACCAGAGGCACTTTGGGTTTATTAGTACCATATGAAGTCGGCGTGCGCGGGGGAGGGTACCGCACGCCCCGTCCTCCTGCGCGGAACAGCGGGCGAACGACGTGAGCACGTGTTCATGCCTCATCCTCGAAAGAAACCATTTGGCTAGTTGATCAATTGGTTTGACGTTATCGTCATTAGTCGTTATTATTTTTCGCCTTTTGTTTTGTTTTTTTTTTTTTTTCCGTTGCGCCATTATTACCCTGTCTGGCGACGGTGCCTTCTCGCCACTGCGTAGATTCCACCGTTCGTCTTTTTTTTTTTTTTTTTTTGTTTTCCCGATCTTCCACCTTTTGCCCTCCCCCCAATTTTTTTTCTCCGTGAACCCACCAACACAATTTCGCACCTTTTTCTCGTTACCTTACCTTTCCACCGCGGTCTTCCGATGTTGTTTGAGCAATAAATACTTTCTCCACGTACAACTGCACATTGAATTGACGCACAGAAACACACACGACACACACAAAAGTCGTCATTCGCTACTAGCCGCATGCATTGACATAATAACGTTTACATCAAATAGGGAGAATTGCAATTTTCGTACGAAAAAAACAAAAAGAAAAAAACGATCGGCTCGTGAAATTACAACTTCGTTTGTTCCTTCAAAGGTAATATATGTAAAAATTATACTTAGGATCAGAGGCATTTCGAAAATCGGATTTATCATCTAATGCGACATGTACAAATCCGTATAATTTGACGTTTTTGTGCGCAGATACACGAAGGAATAATGAGTTTTGTCAGGCAAACTGCATTTTTTTTTGTTTTTTTTTTGTTTTTTTTTTTATCGCAGCAATCTCACGAGAATGCAGCATCAAATATCCAAACACGAAATTTCGACTATGTGTCTTCTTCCTTTCTTCTCGGTATTGTACAATGCTTCCGGCTTCCAAAACAAAAACATCCATTCACGCGGCTGACTCATACACACCAATATGGCTACATCCACGAAGTTTAATATTACACTTTTAATTAATGATTATCAATTCAATATCAATTCAATATCAATGTATTACAATCAGACAATACTCAACAGTGATCGTTATTCATTATATATTACAATACTTAAGAGTGACAACAACATGACGACGGAGGCGTTGAAGCATTACAAGGGAGAAAGAGATGTGGGGTGAATATAGAGAAGAAAAAGTGATATGGAATTGCGAGGGAGGAGATGAAGAAAGGCTTCATTGACATTGGACATGTTTGCAAGTAGCACGATATATAAAGGACAGAGAAAAGTGAGAGATGGCAACGGGCGGAAAGGAAGGAAGAGGATCGGAAGGTAGGGGGAGTCTCATCCAATGATTACGGGACAACGATGATGATGATAGTGGCGGATGCACAACGATAGGAATGAACGATTAAATGGATGAAATGGAACGATGAGTCGCGGAGACCAAGGAGGGGAAGCACGCACACTCAACACAACCGTCACATCGAGCTGGCCTCGCGCGCGGCCATAGTCCATATATTATTTATCTAATAACTAGCACACAGTCTGTCTCCGTTTGCGCGGATGACTCAATGTTTTTACGTTTTTTTTTTTCTCTTCCTCGTATTTTCGTCCTCGAGAGCGCCGTGTAAGTATACGTAATACACCATGGTAATACGCGCGTGCGCGCGGTACAGCGTCGCCGAGCTAATAGAGCGACAGCGCGCTTGTAAGCGTGTGAGAGAACGGCCGCGCTCAGCGGAATCGGGCGCTTTATAGGGCAAGAACCTCGCGAATATTGCTTGTCCATTGGCATACAACTTTCACATTTGCAAAAAATCTGAAATGAGTAGATCAATCGCAGGTAATAAGCGCGAAGCGCTGAATTCTGCTTGAACGCGGTCAATGAGACTTCCCTTATGTCTCATTTATAATAAAAGTTTATGGCAAAATACTCGGGTTATCGCACTTACTGCTCGCACGCGCGCTTTTCTTCGGATACTAGATATACGCACACGTACATACACAGGCATGCTTGCGCCGGTATAAAGTGTATATATGTACACATATACATACGACATACCATTTATATATATATATATATTTATATATATATATATTTATATAATATATTCATATCGCGCTTAATTATTTTATCGTTATCGATAATTATTATTTTTTAAAATTCGTCAGTTCTCTCGTAATTCAAAAAATTTCAGCTAGAATAGCGGTGGATGGAAATGTTTCTTCGTTAAAAATTGCCAGATAGCCAAACTCGGCGTTGGCAATTGACTGTTTTTTTGTTTTTTTTTTTTTGTTTTTTTAAACACATTTACAAATTATCAATCGATATTGCGGCTGATTTCCTCACTCGCGTTTGTTTTTTTTTTGTTTTTTTGTTTTTTTTTTTATATCACTAGTGTTTCATTATTATATTTATTTGTAAAATCACTCGCGATGCAAACAACGCGACCATCGCGTGGCGAGGAAAACGATCTCGCCTCACTTTTTTTGCACTCAACTCTGCCGCCAGGTATGATCGTACATTTAATATTCTATTACAATTATTCATGATTTTGATATCTTATGTACAATTATACGCGCACGCGATAATGTGCTTATGATTATGGGCCACCTATGAACTGGCGACCTCATTCTTTTTCACATATTTTCTCTCTCTCTCTCTCTCTCACACATACACACACGCGCGCGCACACTCTCTCTCTCTCTCTCTCTCTCTCTTTTTCCCACTGAGAAGACTTGCACAATAATTAATTAAACTCAACACATAATTTTAACACTTAGTCCTTTAATTAATTTGCATGTTAACTTGTTCGGGGTTTGCCCAAGTTCACTCGCAATTTGCATTAAGCTGAGAAAACTGGCTTTTGCACGGAACCTGAGACAATCGATTACAAGAGTAGGCCAGTCCTCCTTCGTTCGCGCCGTTGATACGAGAGACCGCTCAACAGGGTAACTCTTGACGAGCGGGTTTTGTCATGTGCTTCATGGAATTCATGGTACATCAGGGGTTGTCTGCCGCCATAATATTATGTACTTGCTCGAGTTTATACGCTAATCTCTGCTTCTGCGAGAACTCGTCCTCCTCGAGAGTGACTATCAGTTGTTCGTTGTATTTACCCGCATACGTATAAAGTTCATATAACGCACAATTTGTGTTAAATTCCGACGTGTGTAACTGAAAACAAAATTATGTGAAATAAGTTTTCTCGCCCTTCTCGTTTTAAATCTAAATCTGTTTTGGTAATTTACAATAATATAATACTGATAAATACCCTTGATTCTTCGGCAAGCATGGCATTCATGTCTTGATCGGATATGGCTGGCATAACTTTGATATCTGAGTAGTAACGCTCTACCCATTCTTTGTACACTGGAATGTCCTTCGCGTATAATAGTTTTGAACTCGGAGAATCCTTACCTGAAAAAAGAGACAAAAACAAACAAATCTTAATGTATATTTCTAAATATTTAATTGACACAAGTATGTATGTAAAACTGAGCACAACAAGCGCGTACCTAATCTATGGTCTGACGTCGAACAGCTGTCCATAAACGTCTGTGCGACAACGGACAGACACGAATCTACGATATTGGATTTGTGTATGTCGAAAATAAAATTCGGATTTTTTATGAGGTTAACCCAAAACCTGAGAGGAAGGGAATTGCTCTTCCACGTGTGGACCACTTCAGGGTCGGATATGCCGTGCTGCAGAGCTTGGTCGTCCATAAAGTCGAACATGTACTTGATGGCGAGAGGAAGTGCCGAGCCTCGATGGGCAGTGCTGAATATAGTTTCAAATAGATCGTCAACGAATTTCTGAAGCGTACCCTTCGTCGCCAGTAACCTCGTCAAATAGATTTCCGAGACCATCTTGTTACCTCGGTCACCTTCCTTTCGCGCGTCAGAATCGTGATGTTTGACAAGATGCCAAACCTTCATTCCACCCTCGAGATTTTGATTGAGAGGCGAGGTGGCGCGAGAAAGAGGAGGACTGGCTGAACTAAACTTGCTGAGATTCAACGTTTCATATTTGTGCGACTTGTCCGTCTTTTCGGACAGAATCGATAAATTATATATAGATGATTGTTTTGAAACTAAATTGAGCGACGCTCCATCCGGTACCCTGTAGTGATTCAAAGTGTTCCTCTTCTTCCATTCACCCTCTGTCTTCGTTGTGGAGTCTTCGTCGTAGAGAATTAATCTACCAGATGCGCCAGTTCGCCACTCTGTGAAATCATTTGTATAAAAAATCGTGAAGATCGTCACGTCATGTGTGGCAAAAATTTGTAAAAAAAACTATTCAAAACATGATTTTCTTACCCAGATCAAGATCCTCTTTTCGTGGTCTTTGGCTGTAAGGAGTCGCTCGGTAGATGGTATCCAATGCTTTCTCCTTTACCTGAGATATCGTATCACAGTCGAGAACTTTGACCGGCACATTTTCCGTGTTAGGATCCATTCCGCCAACAAACACAGTTTGTTGAGATATCGAGACGTAGACCGTCTAAATGTACGAAAACAAAAGAACATTGTTAGAAATAATCTCACTCTTGTGTCTTATCGAAGCACGATGACGATTCCTTACCATTGGTTTGAAATCGATTGATTGTCTAATCAATTTTTCTTCGGATAAGGAATACCTTGCTTCCGAGGTAATCGCATCGACAGGACCTTTATCGACTTGCTGTTTCACTGCGCGAAATAGTACGTACAATGGCTCACCAGCGCATTCTCTCATGAATTTGTACAAGAGAAATGTGAACCATGCAGATAGCATTTTCTCAGCGACGCTTTCGGTTCTAGAAAATAATAATGAATCGTTTAAAGATCAAACGCTCTAATAGTCTCGATAATTAAGAGTTCGTTGTTATTAAGAGTTACGTTGTTCTTACCGTCTTAAGAATAATTTCGGGTGACTTTTGCCCTCCGTACATTTTTCAATGAGATCCGCGAGCAGAGTTTTCAAGATATCCGTGCAATATTCCATTTTGCTCTGGAGCGTAACCATGATCAAACTGGCAACATTAACTCGATCTCTCATTGAGAAATAACGATTACTCTCAAGCGTTCGTACGAACAGCAACAAGAAGGTCTTGTTCATGATCAATTGACCGAAAAGTCGTAAGCCTTTTTCCTTTCGCACCAATTCCGGCCTGTCACCCGGCAATACCGGGGTGTTGTCGTCACTGGGAAACAGGATCATCATCGCGTAAGTGCGATAATCGAGGAAAGGTATGCCACCACTAGTCAAATCTCCCGTCAAATCGGTCATTTCAGTCTGCAATTCAGCAAAGGCTTCTTTACACTCGGCCGCGACTCGTAGTTCCAGAATGTCCATTTGTTCCTGCATATTTTTCAACACTCGATTGCTCTCGGTAGATTTTCTGCGATAAGCGATCAGAAACGCTATGAACACGAATACCAAAATCACGATGGCAGCGATCACCCCAATAAGTGCAGGTTTAGACAATGGTCCGTTGAGTCCTGCCGGCAATGCGTAACTGAGCTTGCCGATATTGTAACGAAGCGTGCCGCCAACTATCAATACCACCTCCGGCAATTCTTGCTTATTTGGTAGACCCTGGGCATCGATAGCCGGTGGTTGCGTCAAGGGTGGCCGGCAAGTGAGTTGCTGTCGCGATAAAGACGTAACGTTGCAAAAAGCATTGCCAATTTGCACGACAACGTCAGACTCTTGACAAGCGCGATCCAAATGTTGACCGTTGATTGTAAGATAGTCGCTCTTGTAATATTTTACTTCCTCGTCAAAAACCTCGTAGATCGGATTTGGATAAAGAAGAAAATGATTGAAACCGTGCTGCGAGAGATTTTGCACGCCGGTAACGTTGTCCATGCGGAAGCCGTATTCGAGTGAGAGCGGACGTTCGGCGTCCAGCACTACGTGCTCGGGCACTTCAATCGTTGGCGACTTGCACATCATACTCTCCTGACTGTGCACTTCGCACTGCGACACGAACATCTTCTCGTCGTAATAAACATACATTTGGGGGTTCTGTATGTAGCCGAGATTTTTTCCCGTCACCGAGATCTTTATTCCGCCCGCCGGAATGCCCTTCGGCACCTTCATCTGACCAGCCACGCCGCTCTCCACACTCTCGATCGTCGGATCGTCGACGTACTCGAACCGTCCGTTGTACACGCGCTTGGCACCGTCGAAAAACATCTTCAACTCGCCTTTCTCCGTCTTGTTCTTGTGAGTACCCGGACTCGTCATGCAAAGAGCTTCGTTCGGTTCGGCACTTATTATCGAACAGGGCAGTTCGTCGATGTAAGCGGTGATGGTACTGCCAGCGTTCATATAGTAGCCAGTGATCTTGATAGTAGTGCCACCGCTCAGAGGACCGTACTTGGGTGATATTGATATAATTTTCGGATCCACGAACTCGAAGTTGTACGTGGATTCACCGCGGAAGTCCTCGATCTTGACGATGACGGGTCCGTTTCTGCCCTGTGGTGTACCGGGTCCGTCGACCCGGCAAACGATCTGCTTCGTTCGTATGTAAAGCTCTTCGTAAGGCAGACATCGCATACCAGCCACGGTAACACCACTGGCTATGTCCTGCAATGTGCATTAAATACATTTAAAACATGTAATTCTTTGTAACAACAAAAGTAAACGAAATTACGCTTTGCTTACATTGAAGGTTTTGCCAAGATTGATGCCGCGTATCGTCACGTTCGTGTTCCCTTCCCAGGGACCCATTACCGGTTCGAACGATTTTATCTCAGGATTCGGGCAGGTCATGTTGCTGTTCAGCCACGTGTGGCTGTTCATGCCACGATCGCATTGGTCTTTTACTTCGCATCTGTCCGCGCTCTGGCACCAACCGCAACCGTATTTCGTCGGCAGAGCCAGGCACATGCCGCAGTTGTCCGCCATGTCGCGACATCGGTATATCACGAGATGTATATTGTCCGGATTATCCAACGGTTTCGAACCGCCCCATATCACGGCAAAGGGCACCGTGATATTCGGTGCGCGGGATGTGTAAGAGAACTCCGTCTCCTCGCAATAGATCGTGTCGGCCAACAGTCGTGCGTTGACACTCGTCACACGACCCTCAATGTTGAATTGACACACGAAGCGTGTTTGTATGATGAATTGCTGTAAAAAATGCTTTTGTTGGACGATACGTTGATAAAAACAATTTCTCACGAACTGAACTAAATTTTGAATAAAATAAAATTTCTTATGTGTGTAAGTAAAAAACTAGCACAAACAAAGAAAGAAATCTAAAATTATAAAAGAAAAACCTCGTGCGAAATAGAAATCCAGGAAAGAAATGGAAAAAAGGAGAGACTGAAAAAAAAAGTGAAAAAAGAATTGTGTGAAATTAAATAACGAAAAATGAAACATACGTAATACTGCGTATTTCTTTCGCGTTGGAGTATTGTACGTACCCCAATGATATGCACTTTAACTCGTATCGCTTTTTTGATCCCGGCAGCTACAAGGATCTCCTGAGATTCGGTAGCGTTAATAGTGGGACAAAAACCTGGCCCACTCCTGTAACTTGGTCCCATTCTCTGTAACAAAATATTTTTTAATTTTATACATTTTATTATTTTTTCATTTATTTTTCTCTCTTTCTCTTTCTCTTTTCATATACGTATATATATATATATATATTTTTTTTTTTTTTATCTCATTTAACTATCAACACGCTGTTAGCATATTTATTCGATTTCATTCCACTTCATTATTTCAAACATTATACGATGCAAATCATAGAGAGGAAGGGAGATTTTCAGCATCAAATTTCCATCAAAAATTATAAGTTAATTGATAATCAAGCATTAATATTCATGGGATGAACGCAACATTTTAACTCCGAAACGAATCGAATTGATGTCAAAATGCAATTAGTCGGTGCACATTAACGTATAATGCAACAACAGAATTGCGACTCTGACCTGAAACTACATACATACGTACGCTTTGAATTTGCGGAACGTATGAATTGCTTATCTCGAAAAACCGTGTAAATTCAGTTTTCAAAATGTCGTTTTCAGCGAGATGTAAATACAAACGAATACACACGCGCGCGCGCCGTGTATTTTAACAAGATTCTCGAATTTTAAACACACGCTATTATTGTTTAGAAAGAGTATTCGTAACTGTTACTCTGTGAACTTACGCTAACTCCTGTGACGAGGATGTCGTTCCGACAGTTCTCCGCCGTGTCGTGCGTACATCGGTGACCGTCCACGCACCAGTCGCACGGGAAACTCGACGACACGCATTGCGTGCACGAGCTGTACGTGTTGCAGTCGAAGAACGTGAAGTTCGTCGCCACCAGATCGGGTCCGTTTGTCATTCTGACGGACAGTTTGGCTGTGAAGTGATGGCGACCCGGCGGTATCGACGGCAGCAAATCCGTTCTCGGAGTGGTGCAGTTCACGCCGTAAGACTTACGCGAGGCGTTTGTGATCAGGGTCTTATCGAGAGCGGAAAACGCGCACAGAAATTGCCCGGTTAAAGTCGGCAAATTTTCGATCACGAGCTCGAGAGTCCTGGCGGTGGTGCGTTGCAGTTGATCCGGCGTGACGGTGGTGATGGTCGTGCATCTTCCGCTCTTGTACGAGATCCAGTAAAGCGGGTCCTTGGCCGCGTCCTGGCAATCGCTGCGCAGATTGCACTTGTTTTCGAGCGAACACCAACCGCAATACGGATCCTTGGCACCAAGACAGTCCCAACAAGTCTTATAAACAGAACACTCTTGCACTTTGACCTTTGACACTTTCTTCTCCGTTAGTACGTAGAGGTGCATCAGTTGAGAATCGAACAGCAGATCCGGATTCACCGGGGAACCGGGATCGATCGCGAGATCGCCGTATTCCAACGCCAACGTTGAACTCTCCACCACCACCTGTGAAACAAAAAGAGAGAACACATCCCTTATTAATTGTATATTTTTTTCCCCCTCGTACGTATTTCTTTTATTTTTTTTTTTATTTTTTTATTTTTTTATCTAACTATATAAAAACACGTTTTGTTCAGAGAAGCGCACTTGCAACAATTATTATGATTAAAATATAATTATGTTTGATAATAATTGAAGAGAACTTCCGAGAATGTATATAACAGAGCTTGACACAATCGATCGCTTTTAAAATTTAATACATTTAATTTGACATATACTGTCGGAAGTGCTTCAATTTCCAGCGGAAACACATGGGAATCGCCGGGTCGTTAAAAATCAGAAATTGATCGTAATTGTCGTATTTGCGCAAAATTGGAGAGACGTACTCGATGTAGATTGGAGTTTAATAAGCTTTATATAATATATTTATCATAATATCGGTGTGTGTGTGTGTGTGTGTGTGTTTGTGTATGTGTGCGCGCGTGCGCGCGCGCTCTCACATTAACAAAACGGGGGATAGCTACGAACGGGATGAAGAATTAAATATTCACGGCAAAATTATGAACAAGAGCTCCGGTTTTCAACTAAAACCGGGAGTAAATATTACTTTCGTTTAAGTATTTATTGAATATTAATTATCGATATTAGTTCGGTAATTGCCACTCATCGCGTATTCCGTTTCTGCCTGCGACAAAAGTAAATATTTCCAAAAATTCACTTTGCATGCGTGTATGCGCGCGGGATCCATCAGTCGGCGCGTGATATATATCGCCGATTTTAATAGTAACGATGTGTAATAATAATAATGATAATGATAATAATAATAATAATAATAATGATAATAATTCGGCGCTCGGGATGGCGTCCGACATGGCGGTATAAATTTTACACGGCGCGCTGTTTTATCTCTCGCATTATGAAAGTAACATGAATATTTACGTCGTCACGCGGATTCACAAATTTCCCAGGTGGTTACCGTCGTCGTCTATTGTCGCGCGAGTGAGTTTTTGAAACTTCAATGCCTGACTGGTGAAAAGGGGAAGGAGGGAGATGGGTCGCTCGACATCCAGGGTATGGGAATTGCAGTCGTAGAAAGTAACAGTGTAGCTGCAATTTGCACCCTATTATTTTAACGTGAAATCCTCCGCGCGCGCATCACATCTCTCTTTCAAGAGAGACGAGCATGGGTTACGGCCAGGTGCACTTGCGCAGTATTCATTTTCTCAGACTGCACCGCGAATCCTATTCGCGGTCGCGGTTAAGAGGTCGCAAATTAAATCCCCAGGTCTGAGGGACGTAGCCGAGGGCTTTCAATCGACAGGAGAATGACGAACAAAGACGGGATCCACATCGGAATCGCTCGCGGTTCTATCAAAACGATCGTATTCCCCGACGATAATAACAATAATAACAGTAATTGTCATAGACGAGCCGCACGGCGTCAACGACGCGAATCATTTTTCCGATGACAGAGATAGGCCTCACATATCAATAAACTTCGATAACCGTGTTGGTTTTGCGTGTTAAATGTAATGATTGTAATATGCATGAGAAAAAGGTATATATATATATACACACACACACACACACACATATTACCGGAGGAAACGAGCTATTTTGCTCGGATAGAAATGGAATAGTTAAACATTGTGTGTAATTTACAACAAATTGAATTGAGAGAGAAAGAGCGAGAGTCAAGCAGAGTTTATGATAAACTGCGTTGCGCGCAGTCACTATATGCCGATTTAATTAACAAATATTAATTAAGTCGCGTCGCGTCGCGTCGTAGTCGAATATAAACAGCTCGGAATCGAGCCCAAACGACGTGCAATTTGGCAAACATCTGTTCATCTATCCACAATGCTCATTAGAGCAATAATTAATGTTCTTTAACGAAGAACGGATTATATCGACAGCTTTACAGCGGCGGCGAGCTTGTAACGTTTGGATGTAAAGAGAAGACAGACGCACGTGTCAACACTATATTAATACATGTTTCATTTTTACTTAAACAAAGTAACTTTTAAAAAATACTTTGCACAACATACAATCGTCATGCAACTTTATTAAGTTCGTCAATTTGCGATTGCATCCATAAATGTGATTTCTTTATCGTGAAAAAAAAAAAAAAAACTGTTGATGTCATCGCTAACTCGATGAGTCCGTCTTACGAGATAGAGCGGAAATATAGCAAACAGTCTGAAGGAATCCAGGCAAGCGACTTGAGGACGGCTGTTTCCACTCCGTGCTGATCACCATCCGACCTCTGGCCGACTAATGAGTCGTTGCTTAAGACAGGCAATCACGATAACTATGTTACAATCCGTTCGAGTGGGAAACACGTGGGCGAGAGAGAGAAAGGAAAATAATAACAATAATTACGAGGCTACCGCGTGGTGTTAGTGGTGGTTAATTCTAAGGTTTGCCCGCGTACGATGCGGTGTTAGACTTTTTATTTTTTATTTTTATTTTTAGCGTGATTTCGCATCGGTGTGTACGCGATGTGCGCGCGTCATTCGGCCTCGGCGAAATCTCCGACCGACGACGCTTGGGCCGCACAAAGAGGCCTTAATAAACGCGCGGGGATAAAGGCAAGGCCGGTGAGGTCGAGGATGAGTCGCTAGGAGATTTCAGAGAGAGAGAAAGAGAGAGAGAGAGAGAAGACGCGCGCAAAGAAGCAGATAGAAATTATTTCTTAATGGAAGAAGGAACGGCACGGAGAAAACGGAAAGAAGAGTTGCGCACCGCAAGTATAATGATGAGGAAGAAGAAGACAAGGTGGAAAGCGAGAGATGCTTCGCAGGAAAGTTTCAGCATGTATAGACAAATGTGCGGTAAAGCGTTTGAGATTCAAGAATAAGCGATAGAGAAAAAAAAAAAAAAAAAAAAAAAAAAAAAAAAAAAAAAAAAAAAAACTACTTTGAACTTTAGTTACACGTAGATCGGCTCGTTGAAACACAAGGAACTCGAGTAAAAACAAAAATCGAATTGAACTGTCAAAAAACTGTCGCGCAAGCCGAGATTTCTGTTTGGAGCTAACTCTAGATCGGACATTGTTCTGTTTTCGGCTCTCTTCCGCTCGATCGTTGTTCCACGCTTAATCCCTCTCTGCAGTTGTCTCACACATAGTTCTCTGTCGGCCTATCGAGAACAAATCAGATTTGCGAGCAAATGCGAACAAGCAAGAGTTCAATCTTGCTTGTTCAATCTTCCACTAATCGTCGAACACACGAAACAAAGATATGTTTGACAAAGTATAAGAGAAAATTGTTTTTTCTGTCTTTTTGGACTCAAAACTCTTTACTTAAAATTAGAAATATCGCTATTTTGTAGAAAATGTTAAGAGTGACGATCACACATAACACAGAGAAACTGTCGACTTGAGACACGTTGTTGTATCCTGTTGGGATACCTCAGAAAGGATGCGGAACACGATGCGATTAAATCCAGCGGTGCTCCCGCTGTCGCGATGCATCTCGACGCGGCGATTATGCGTCGAGTTACGTATGCATCCCACCCTCCAATCTTTCCTCCTTCTTCTTCTCCTCCTCTTTCTTCTTCTTCTTCTTCTTCTTCTTTCGCCCTGTCGCCCACCCTTGGCGGCATCTCTCCGGAATTTTTAAATGCATTCTTCGACGCGGTTCGCCGCGCCATCGCCGGGATTTTCCCTCACGGATACGTCGAGGAAGAAAAGGATTTTCACCGTCATCTTGCGCGACGGACGGGGGTGAGAAAGAGAGAGAGAAAGAGAGAGAAAGAGAGAGGACAATGTCTCCGAGAAGCGTTCGACAGCGGCACAAATGTATTCCGCCACTGCGAGATTTCCAAGGAGAATCTTATTTTATGAATCTTATCCATGAGATCTTATTCAGTGAATCGGATGCGCATTCATACTGCCAGAAAAGGGAGCGCGGCAAAATCAAGAAAGATTACTCGCGATTAATCATAGAGGAGTAACATGAAATATATCCAGGATCCATCATGTAAGATATTCATCTTGGAACGATTTGCGCATTGTCGACAATTCACGTGTTAATTGTTCATCTGACGTATATTTTTGTATTTTGACAAATTTGTATTTCAATATTTTGCAATACTTTAATAAATATATTAATATGCGTATGATATTAAAATACTTAAAAAAAAAACGTGTATTTTTTTATATTTTAATATTAAAGATCGCCGAAACACATTCACGAAAGTGTCAGAATTGGACGAGTCGGGACGGTCACAAGGTGTAAAAAGAACGTGGTACACCAAATTATACATTATCTCGCGATAACGACGTGACGAAAAATAATCGCGAGAGAAATCGCATTAAATTGAAATTAACGGCACTCGTGCGGATTTGTCCGCGGTCTGTTATTAAAATGCCGCGAATCATGCGTTTCTCCGGCGATAATCGTCGCCGATATATAAGAAGCGCAACGGTGGCACAACGGCGCGCATTTGCAAACGGCCGACGAATCGCGCGTTTTTAGTCGGTTTCGCCAATGGAGGCGCACAAGAACTCGGCTATCCCGCGATTTGATAAATGAACTCGCGGTATACGGTAATAACCAGGTCGCCGACGTCGGTAAAAGCACGCGCATAATGCGTTTTACCCTCTTGTCCCTCGTATCTTGTGTGTGTGTGTGTGTGTGTATTTGTGTGTCGGCTTTCACATCGCGAGTTCTTCCCATCCACCCCCGGAATAAAACAAGGGAGGTGACATAATGCGATTGCATGCGTTCCGGAGCGCGATATAGTCGAACGCAACAATTTTTCATTATCCGAATATGTCCGTTGTTTTTCACAAGAAAAGAAGGAGAACGGGAGTGACGACAGGAATTCAGAATAACGTTGAGAGAACTTTTTATCGTATTTTCTCCAAATAAAAGCTCCTCCGCTATATATTCTCCACTTTGCCTGCGCTTCCGCTCGTTCCTGGACAACGTCCGATCGAGATTAATTGCCATCGAATCGTCGAATGGAATCGCTATTGAAACACAGGCGAGGAGAAGGGA